GTGGAAGAAGGAAAAAATCTGCCAGTGCCTTCCCTTTGAAGACAGTTCCCTGGATCTTCTTATGATGTTCACATATAAAGTCGCATGGCCACACTTAATTGCAAAGGATCCTGGAAGGTGTTTTTGCATTACAGCTGGAAGGGAAGCCAACCAGCCAAAAAGAAAGGTTCTATTACTGGAGGAGAGGATAACTGGGGACACAGTTCAGTGGTAGAGTGCTTGCTTAGCACAGGCAAGGCCCTGGGTTCCAGCCCCAGAAACCTAGAAAAATATACAAAGAAGATAATATATAGAAGGCAGATGACCATTTCTGTCACATCAAATGGCCTGGTGGGAGGAAGGTATGTGGATGGGGAGGAGGGATACCAGTACGAACGAGATCCGGATGCCCATTTAACTTCTTTTGCTATATGTCTTTGAGTCTCTTTGTGACTAAGAAAAACTAACAGAGTAAACCAGACTGGGGCATGAGTGTAAAGAACTCACCGAGGAAATATCAGGGTTAGGGTGTGCCGAACCCTGAATGAACACATGAAGGAGTCTTCTGTTATGATGGTGAGGGTCCCATCCTGTCTGTGCCAGCTGTGGGAAGAGTCCTGCTTGGTCAGTGGCTCCTCAGAGCAATACCCAACCAATCCTTCTATTTGAAGTCCACCCTTCCCCTCTAGGTCTTCAGAAATGCCTGGCCTCTCCACCCCCGAGCCTTCTGAGATTTCAGTAAGTCTTGTGTCTTAGTGCCCTCAACTCCATCAGCCACGTCTCAGGCCCTTGGGTCCTTGTCCATCCCCACTATCAGCTCTCCAGCATCCACAGTTCAGCTGATTGCTCCTGTTTGCTGCGATCACCTCACACACTGTCATTGTTCCCACAGGCAGACGTGCATTTATGCAAGTTCCTTGTTGTTCTCTTAGAATCCCACAGAATGGTGTCATAGATAAGTATGTGCAGCCAGTCACAGGAGCCAGCAGTCTCTGGCTAGACTGCTGCCTGGGGAAGTCTCTGTGCTCAAGAGCACCCTAAGGGGCATCCCCAGCCTGGCCGCCTCTTTCCCATTCAGCACACAATCCTTTCTTCCTTGCTGAGCCCAGGCATGGTTGCATCCCAGCTCTGGCCTGTACCTGTTACCCAAAGCCAGGACCTAGCCCGATTCCTCCCTGCATCTGGACAGGACTGGGCAGGCCCCAGGCTGCTGGATATGAGTTCCTGACCTGGCTCACTCTTTAGATGTCACTTTGGTCTTTTGAAGCATTATAATTCAAAGGTGGAAATGAGAATGTCATTTCTAAATTGGAATGTTAGTTGGTCTCTTTCCAGAGATGTGTTCCCACTGCATTTAGGATGGAGTCCAGCATCAGTGCCCCCAAGGAATCTGCAAGAGCCTCACCTATCTGTGAGAAGAACCAGGGATGATTACATTTGTAATCCCAGCATTTGGGAAGCTTAGGTAGGATCAGGAGTTTGAGGGCAGCCAAGGCTACATAGTGAGATCCTGTCTCATAAAACCCAAACCTGTGGACCCTGTAGTATGGCAAACATGCATATTCAGACGCCAGAAGCTCTCAGTGACCTACCATCCTTATAAGGGAAGAGGTCAAGAAATAAATACATTGCCAGCCTTCCCAGACCGAGGAATTTCTTGGGATGTAGGGTTTTCAGTGCTAAAACCAAAACAGTGCTTTGGAAAACCAGCACTGTGAATCTTCATCAGAATGTTCCTTAAGCACCATCCTGGGAGTGCACATTTGGCTTAAAACGCTTACTGTCTGGGAGCCAAGGGCAATGGCTTAGTCAATAAAGTGCCTACTGCATAAGCACAAAGACCTGAGTTTGATCTCCATTGCCTACATGTCTGTAATCCCAGCACTGGGGAGGCAGAGACAGGAGGATTCATAGAGCTTGCTGACCAGCCAGTCTAGCCAAATTGGTGAGGGTCAGGTTTGCTGAAAGACTCTGTCTTAAAAAGTAAGATGGAAGAGAAATTAAGGAAGACATTCGACATTCATCTCTGGCTAACACACACACACATACATGTATGTGCACACAACGTGCTTACTACCTTATGTCCCCCACCCCTATCTAGGGTTTTTTAAAAATTTATTTATTTTTGTGTATGAGTGTATTGCTTGCATGTGTGTAAGTGCACCTATGTTGTGCCATGCCCTCAGAGGTCAGAAGAAGGTACGGGATCCCCTGGAACTAGAGTTACAGATGGTTGTTAGCCACCATGTGGGTGCTGGGAATTGAACTCGGGTCCTCTGTAAGAGCAATCAGTGCTCTTAACCACTGAGCCATCTCTCCACCCCCTTGCCTAGGATTTTTATGCCAGACAAACATTGGGAAGGTCTAGAGTGGACCCTGGAACCAGGATTCCAGGTTCAAGCGTCATCTCTGTTTCCTGCTGTGTCTCTGAGCAAGTCACTTCGTCTCTCCTGCTCTGCTTTCCTCATCTACAAAATGAGACTAATAAGACAAGTTCCACCTCAGACGGTTATTATGAAGATTAAGTGACTCAGTAGATGTAAGGCACTTGGAATGCTGTCTGTCATCCAGCAAGCTAGAGAGGCCACACCCCTTATCTATGGAGAAAATGGTCACTAGTTCCTACCAGGCCTGGCAGATCCCAGTCCTGGGATAGTGGTCACAGCCTCCTGGATTCCAAAGTCTGATCTTGTAATTAATCTGGACCTTGAGCCATTCCAACCTAGTTCCTTGTAGACATGCTGACGCCATTAGAGCATAAATAATTTGGAGAATGTCTGGTTCCCACTTACCACTATCTTTCTAGAATGTGTAAGTGAACCGTGACTGTGCCGGTTCTTGTTGATTAAAGCAATCAACAAACAGTGGGGTCGAGGGAAGCCCTCACTGTGTTGTTTCTTCATCTGTAAGAACGGGCCTCTTGATGCCACTTGGAGCAGTTAGTCTGAGAAACTAGAATATGTGCTTTCCCAAGTGCCCATCATTGTTGGCACAAAGGCATGTTCATTTATATTCTCTCTCTCTCTTCCCCCTCTCCTCCTCTCTCCCTCTTCCTCTTCCTCTTCTTTTCCCTCTCCCTCTCTCTGATGGAGTTTTGCTAGATAGGCCAGCTTGGCTTGGAACACGTGATGCTCCTGCCTCAGTCTCCCAAGTGCTAGGATGTCAGACAACGTAACTCCTTCTCGGTGTGCTGCTGTGAGATTCTGCGTTTTAAGCTGAGATTTTTGAGGGACTATGGAGTAAACCTTCCCTTGACTTTGGTGGCCTACTCTAGTCCTGGCATTGGTACTAGCCTTGAACTCTGCATTTTCCAATTTCAGGCAAGCAGCAATATTAGGTTTTTTTTTTTTTTTTTTTTTTTTTTTTTTCTTCCCAAAAAAACCTAAACTACGACAAATACCTGAAATTGTCAACTTACAGAGAAAGAAGGGTTTGGGGGTTTGTTTTTTTGTTTTTTGTCTCACAGTTTTGAAGGTTTCAGTCCACAGTCAGTTGACCCTGTTGCCTTGGGCCTGTGGCACACAGCATACTGACCAGGAAGCAAAAGAGAGGAAGAGGAAGGGGCCAGGTTCTACTGTCCCTTCCACACCTCCAGTGAGCAGAAGACCTTCCAAGAGGTCCAACCTCCTAAAACCTCCACAGCCTCCCAACAGCATCTCCCTGGAGAGCAAACCTCTGCCACATAATCTTTGGGGGAGGGGGGCACAATGTCCAGATTTCACAATGGCTGAAGCTGGGGGTGAGTTTGACCTGAGATGAGAACTTCCCAGAGTTTCTGGAGGAAGTTGGATGATTTGTGCTGTTGTTGAATTTTGTTCTGAGGAAGACAAAAGAGCCAAGTTCCATCTCTGTCTCTGGTACAGGTCTGGGTACTACCTTCCTTCCTTAGGACTGGAATGACTTAAAATACTAGGCAAGGCCTTTTTTGTTTTAATCAGCAGAAGACCTTTTATTTTAAATTTTAGTTATTATTATTGCTTGTACATGTGTGCATGATGTGTGTGTGTGCCATGACACACTTGTGAAAGTCAGAAGACAACTTTGTGGATTTGGTTCTTTCCTTCTGCCTTTGTTACCAGGGAAACCGAGGATTCCTTTTGGGGTTCTTAATTTCATTAATAAAATAATTTAGAAACAGACCCGAAAGGCAGCTCAAGGACAGCTTTACTAGAGTTTAAGAGAAAAACACAGTACAGGTAGATGAAAATCCCAGCAGCCTCGAGGAGGAGATGCAGGAAAAGTCATGCCTTTTGAGTTAGGCATGGTTAAGAGCACCTGCTGCTCTTGCAGAGGAACCTAGTCCAATTCCCAGCACCCACTTCTGGTAGCTCACAACTGCCTATAACTCCAGCTCCTGGGGATCCAGCACTGTCTTCTGGCTTGTAAAGACACACACACTCACATACACATATACACATTTAAAAATAAATAAATAGAAACGGAAGGAAGGAAGGAAGGAAGGAAGGAAGGAAGGAAGGAAATCACTCCCAAGAATGGAAGAGGGCTAGTGAGCTGAGGAAAGCCTAACAAACACCTAGCTACATGGCATATGGTCTTTTATAGCCCCCCCCCATTTGTATTTTTGGGGACTTTGTTTTGCACGTGCTCCATTTGTTAGATGATGCCAGGGTAAGGAAGAGCTTTCAATCGTGTTCTGCAAGCTGGCTTCTTTTACATATTAATCTCGATGTAGCTTTTTTAGTTCCTACTCTCCTACCACACCTTTACATGAGTCCAGGGGACTGAGCTCAGGTTGCTAGGCTTACATAGAAAGTACCTTGACTGGCCCAAGCCATCTTGCCAGCTCCCGGTAGAGGATATTGTTCATGTAAGTAAGGTGATTAGGTTTGTCGCAGTCATTCGTTAGCTGTGTCCCGGGACATAATGTTTTATTTTGCTTTTTATCATCATTACATGAAAGCTCTGCTCCAAAAAGAGGCAACATTGTTCCTATAGCCCCAAAGAGCGTCTTAGATGACTAGTCCCCACAATGGAAGTGCTGGGACTTTGACCGCAGTGGTCACTTAGGGCCACCAGAACAACAGGTGAAGGGAACTTTTAGCTCATCTGGGAGGTGCATACAAAGGTTCGTCACCTGGCACTTTAAACATCCCTCTCAGTCTAGGGTAATTGGGTTTCTCAGACACAGAAAAGGTGCTGTTGACTGTGGGGTGACACCTGGAGGAACTTCACCCATAACTACACACTTGATATGAAGCATGATCCATACCTGGTCACTTTCCAAGGAACCAAGATTAAGGGAAGCCAGCCTACCAAAGCTGAGACCTTTTCTACTGGAGAGCCTCTATCCTATGTTCCACCTGGCTCCGTGTGATGCATAGGAAGCCTTATCTTGTTGGCATCTAGGGCACTGGCAAGGAGAAGTATCCTGGAAGTGTCCATGGAACTATGGGACCCCTGACACCATCTTTGGACCCAGTGACTTGAGTGTCTAGCACTTGGATGACTCGTTCCTGGGGCCCATTGAGAAAGGCATAGTCAAGACTGAAAGAAGCCAGGCAGCAACTGCTCCACCCCTGTGGAGACAGCACCACTGAGCCGCTCCTGAGCAGGTCCAGGTTAGTTGAGAACAGTGAACACTGCCTCGCTTGCTAAGCCGTATCTGCCTACCCTCCCAGTGGGCAGGCTTCGGGTCTTAGACTGGTCTTCAGTCACCTGCAGAGCAGGGAGGGCTGGTATAATCTCCAGCTTTTCATTTGCCTTTGTGGCTCTCTACCCACACCCTACCTTGACTGCAAACTTGGCTATGAGATCTGCTTCCACCCTCAACCTTCTTTTCTTCTGGCAATTGTGCCTCTGTGTGGCAGCCAGAAGCCAAGCTTGGGTGTTTCATGCAACAGACAGCCACCTTACTTTGAGACAGGCCTCTCATTGGCCTCAGGTTCTTGGAGTAGGGCATGATGTGGGGTAGCCAGCCTAGGAACCTGTTTATGTCCACCTTTCCAGTGTTGGGATTACAAGTATGCACCACCACACTGGCTTCTTTAAAAAACAGACTCTCAGCTGGGCATGGTGGCACATACCTGTAATCCCAGCACTTGGGAAGCAGAGGCAGGCAGATCTCTATGAGTCCAAGGCCAGCCTGGTCCCCATAGTGAGCTCCAGGCCATCTGGGGCTACAGGGAAACCCTGTTCCAAAAAGACCAACAAAACAAAACAAAAAACAGAATCTCTTTTATTTATTCTTTGACAATTTCACATCTATAAACAACGCATCTTGATCATATCGACCCCCAGGCACACCCGATATGTCCCCCGCCCACCTCATGTCCTCTGCTGCCTGTTGGAATGTTGGCTGCCCTTGTTGACTGGGTCTTGTGCAGATTTTGTGCAGGTAATCATAGTTGTCATGGGTTCATGAGTGCAGTGGTCATGCCATGCCCAGAAGACAGCACTTGATAGCACCCATCCTCCAGCTCATACATTCTTTCTTCCTCCTCTTCCACTTGTTTCCTGAGCCTTGGTGTGGGGTGTGGTGGGAGGGTTTATAGAAATGTCTCATTTGGGGCTGAACACTCAGTAGTCACTTATTTTCAGCACTTTGGTCAGTTATGAGTCTTTAACTGCTGATGACTACATTAACTGCTAGTCAGTCACTACCGAGAGAAGCTTCTCCGGCCAGGATTAAGAGCAGCAGTAATCAGTTTGTATAAAGATAAATGTTTGGAAGGAAGTTGGACAACATGTCTATTTATCACAACAACAGTAGTGGGTTCCTCCCTAGGGCCTATGACCTCTTGAGCCTTGGGATTTTGACGAGGATTACAGTGCCAGGCATGAATTCCATCCAATGGAACAGGTCTCAAATCCAACCCCAAAGCAGTTGATTTCCCCATAACCTTTGTGCCACCATTGCACCAATGGGCACATCTTGCCTGGCAAGTTGGTATCATCATATACAAAGTTCACTACCGGGCAATACTAATGATATCAGCCCCCCGCCCAGGGACCTGCATAGCATCATCTGCTACTATGAAAGCTAAGTAACAAGGAGGAGGTTTTCAGGTCAATTCCAGCTTGATTTCTCTGTGTCTCCCACCAAAGTGTGTTGTGTGTTCAGCAATAGGGTCTTACCATCTAGTTCTGGTGGATACCGAGAGCAACGACAACAGCCTGTGTTGTGTTGGGGACCCCTGGGACCTCCCTGACCAGTAACTCATAAAGAGCTGTCCCACACCAGGCATTGAGATTTTTACTTAATAACCCAGGTCTTCTGGGGGAGGCATTGTCCATCCGTGCAGTCCTTTCTAATTATCTTCCAAAGTCATGGGTTTCCATAGGACTTTTCACACATCCTTAGTTTTGCCTAACCCACCCCGCACCTTCTGCTCTTCCCTGTCCTCCTACCGATCCCTACTTTAACATTAATCACCAATATTCCCCCTGTGTTTTTACATCACATGTATTCTGCTATCCCCTCACCCTTTACACCTCCTCCCCTCCCACTTTCATGGGCCCTTCCTAACTTCCTGTGCTCTTCGGATATTCTACCCTAAACACACAAATTTTAGAAGCCAGTACCGGATCCACATGACAGGGACCATGCGCCATTTGTCTTTTTGGTCCTGGGTGCTTTCACTTTGTATATTGTTTGGTCCATTTTTCTGTGAATTTCATAATTTAATTTTTACATAATGTTTGACCTGTGTTTTTGTTGACAAATTGAGACCATTAATAATCAGTGTTATTATTTGAAATTGCATGTTATTCTTGCCGTTTTGTTGATTTGGGTTGTTTGATTCTTTTTTTTTCCTCTTTGTCTTTTGCTTAGTTTCATTGTACTGTGATTTATTCTTTCCTGTGTCCTCATGGATGGATTTGTTTTTCTCTTCAGTTCCCAGCATCCACATCATACAGATCACAACTGTCTATAACTCCAGCTTCAGAGGATCTAATGTTCTCTTCTGGCTTCCTCTGGAAGCTGAATACACAGACAGACAGACAGACAGACAGACACACACACACACACACACACACACACACACACGAGAGCAAGAGACAGGCAGACAGACACAGAGACAGACACACAGATTCTTCTCAGGTGCCCCAGAACTGCAGTACCAGAAAAGCCCATAGTGGAATGTGGGAGATACCAAGAAAGGACTAAAAGCTCCCTGGCCCACAGAGACCAAAGGCTCCCACTCTCTCCTCTGTCACACAGCACCACATGGAACCTACCAGAGCCAGAGCTATCTGAGACCTTCACCTTTCAGTTCAGCAACTGAATGGGTCAAGGAAAGGACTCTCCAGTCCCATCTGCCTGGCTTTTCTCACATGGGTTCTAGGCTTGAACTCAGGTCCTCATACTTGCAAGGCAAGCACTTTACTACCTGAGCCATCTCCACAGCCCCAGGTTTATGTTTCTTATAATCTCTTCTCATGAATAAAAAGGATAATATGTTATTAAACATGAGGTTTGTTCTACTGTGGTGGTACATGCCTTTAATCCTGGGCCTTGGGAGGCAGAGGCAGGCAGATCTCTGTGAGTTTGAGGCCTGCCTGGTCTACAGAGGGATCTCCTGGCCAATCAGGGGTATGTAATAAGATTTTGAGACCTCTTCTCTCTCTCTCTCTCTCTCTCTCTCTCTCTCCATATATATGTTTACATGTGTATTATATACATACATATAGATATAGATATGGTTTGGCCAAAATATTTCATAGACTGTGCTTTGATTAATATAATTGTTCTGTGTTCTTTAACCTTTTTATTTGTCTCTCTTCATGGTAATTATTGATTTTTGTGTCATTGTGAGTTTTTCTGCTAGTCCAGCTGTTGCCCTGTCTGTGATGACTGACTTGATGAGGACTGAAAACTCCAGCAGCTGCAGCAGCAATCTCATTACACCTTTTTCTGCACTGGAGTGTCGTCCCCCCCGACCACCACCACCAAAGAAGAGAGACAAATGCTCCCTCTGGTCCATTATGGGTTGACTATGGGTGACTGGGGTCTTAATGGAGGTGTTGGAGGGTCTGACACCATGCCATGCACAGCCTCATACGGAATCACATATGTCCTTCCTGGCATGAAAGGCATTTAGCAGCTCTTCCCAAAAGAGTCTGGCCACCCCTCACTCCGAGCTGCCCTGTCTCTGGTGCTGGGATTTCTGAGGCATCTAAGGCATATCTGACCCACTGGTGACTCTGGGAAGGAATCTGCAGTGAATGGCACGTTTTGGCTACCTCAAACACATGCCTAGCTCTGATTCTTGTTTCGTCCAACGAACCTTTAGGAAATGAGTCCCAAGACAACATCAGGCAACTTGTGGTTGCTTCACTTGTACATTTTGAGCTCATCTTCTGCCCACCTAAACTGATATTCTTGTTCTATGCATGTGCATGCATCACTAAGACTAACATTGAGGTGTTTTTAATCTATTGGGGTTATTTTCTTCTCTTCTGTTTCAAGGTCATCTTGAACCAGTGCAGGATGAAACACAGGCATGCAAGAGTGAATTATCAAACTGGCCTGGGACTAAGGAGATTTCTTAAAATCCAGGTGGCAATGAAACATGCTTAAGCCTGGCAGCAGTCCAGGCATAGACAGAGTTATACTCCCAGAGCTGGAGAGGCAAAGGAAGGAGATTCATGAGCTGCAGCACCTGACCTACACAGTGAGACTTGAAAACAGACTTGCAACGTCTAAAAAGTACTATAGTTTGACCACATAAACAGGTGACCTTATTCTGCCATAAATGCAATTTCAATCTACTACCTATCATTGTTTTATTTATTCATTTGCTTTTAGTATTTGGGTCTTTTAAATCAAATTTGTTGAGGCATAATTTTCATGATGTAAATTCCATAAATAACCACGTTCATTCACATACTATAGGCATAACCGACACCACCAAGGCAAAGAACAGCTCCAACAATTATTTTTTGCAGTAGTGCTGAGAATTAAATCTAGGGCCAGGGCCCAGCATGTGCCAGGCAAGTGTGCGCCCAGCAAGCTGCACATCCTTAGTTGTTGGTTTTTTTTTTTTTTTTTTTTTTTTTTTTTAAATATTGGGATAATGTCTTACAAAGTTACATAGGTCAGCTCTGAACTCTTGTAACCCAGGCAGGCCTGAACTCTTGGTAACGCCTGCCTCACACTCCCAAGTATCTGGGATTATAGGACTGAATACCAGGCCAAGCCTCTAATGCTCCTTTTCAAATGAATAAGTTTGTTTTGTTATTCCTTTTCTTTGGACTCAAACTTAAGGGTTATATAATCTGGGTTTGTATGTATATATAGTTTGTGTAGTACCTTTGGGTATATGTTGTATGTGGTGTTTATATAATATAGTTCTTTCAAAAGACTTTTATTTAAATTGGTTTAAGAATAAAGGAATGCTCATATAAAATCAGCTAAAATTCCTTTTAGTTCATGGGACTCAAAACTTTGACAAATAAGGTAATTTTAATTTGCTCATAAAAGAAAATAGAAATGTCTCCATCATGTTAACTGTATTTTGCCTATGTTTACATTCCTGTCTGTTAGGTGTTTAAGATACAATGTCTATTACTTTCTCTGTTTCAAATATCGCTTCCTGAGTCATCATTAAAATATAGTTATTTTATTTTATGATGAATAAAATTTTGTCTAAATTCAGCAATTTGTAAAGATTGTAAGTTTAAAGAAGAAAATGAGGCAGGAAAAGGAACCGGCTGGGCTGGTGGGATGGCTCAGCAGGTAGAGGTGCTTGCTCATAGTCCTGATGACTTGATTTCAATCCCTGGATCCTACAAAACGACAGGAGGGAGCTAACGCCCGAGAATTGTCCTCTGACTTCTACCTACAGGCATTGTGGCATACACACATCTGCACACACACACACACACAAATAAAAAATAAAATAAAAAGGAACCAGCAAATAAGAAAAATATACAGAATGTTTTAGGTATGGAAATATTTTTTGGTTAAAAAATGGCTAAAGAGAAAAAAATGCTTTTGGATTAAAAAAAAAAAAAAAAAGGATTGCTCCCAAATACAAATAGACTTTTAAAGGCAAAATGAGAAGTTAAAGTATGTCCTGAAAGGTTTGTAAAGTAGGAGACCTTAAAAGCAATTGGTGGGCTAGAGAGATGGCTCACGGTTAAGATCATGCACTGCTCTTGCAGAGGACCCGAGTTTTATTCCCAGCACCCATGTCAAAGGGCTCAGTACTATTTGTAACTCCAGCTCCAAGAGATCTGAAGCTTCTGGCCTCCAAGGGGCGCTTGCACTCATGTATACATACCCACACTCATGCACAGATACACATAATTTTTTAAATAAAATTTAAAATTTAAAAGCAATTGGCATACATATAATTAAATTGATTATAATGAAAAGTTACTCGAAGTATTTCCTAAGGTCAAAATTTAATGCACTGATGTAACACTAGAGCTTAATTTTCTAGGTGCAGAGCAAAGATTTCTTAAAATACTGATCTTCTCTTAGTAACATTTATAAAAACTGAGCTTAAAGAACAATGGTTTTAGCTGGGCATGGTGGTGTGCACATCGTGTCCTCCATGCTGGGAGAAGCAGAGCCAAGAGAATTGTTTTGTTTTTGAGACTAGTTTGGGCTGCAGATCAGGTTCAAGGAAAGCCTGGGGAAATAGGGAGACCCTGTCTCAAAACATAAATAAATGAATATGAATAAGCCAAAACAAAAAATATTTTATGTAGGCTTCTACTGCTGAGGAAACTGACTCTTAACAGTCAAGATTTATGAATCTATTTTTATTGGGAGTGGGGCATATGCATGTGTGCACATGGGTGTGAGGAATGTGGTTGCCCATGTGTATGAGCAATGATGATGTTGATATCAGGTGGCTTCCTCTAAGATTCTCTACCTTATTATTTATTTCTCATTTATTTTTATTTTATGTGCATGAGTGTTTTGCCTGCATGATGTAAGTGCTCCTGTGTACCCAGTGCCCACAGATATGAGAAGAGGGTGTTGGATCCCCAGGAACTGGAGTTACAGCTGATTGTTAGCTACCATGTGTGTGCTGGGAACCAAACCTATGTCCTCTGGAAGAGCAGCCAGCACCTTAATTGCTGAGCCAATCTCTGCATCTCCTGTCCGTCTTATTTTTTGAGACAGACTCTCACTGAACCCAGAGCTTGCTGTTTTCTCTAGACGGGCTTGCCAGCGAGTCCCTGGGTCCTACCTGTCTCTGCCCTCTTCAGTATTGGGATTATAGGTGTACACTGCCATGTCCAGTGTTCTAGTTTGCTTCTCTGTTGCTGTGATAAAAGACTGACCAAAAGCAACACATCACATTCCATCATTGAGGGAAGCAAAGGCAAGGACTCAAGGCAGGAACCTGGAGGCACGAACTGAAGTAAAGACCACAGAGAACACTACTTACTGGCTTGCTCCCTTGGCTGGCGCAGGTACCTTTCTCTACCGCCTAGGCACACCTGCCTAGGGATGGCACTACCCATAGTGGACTGAGCTCTCCTACATCAATCAGTAATCAAGAAAATGCCCCTACAGGCCAGTCTGATGGAGGAAATTCTGCATTGAGGTTCCCTCTTACCAGTTTGTGTCAAGTTGACAAAATACTATCACCCTCACTACCCCACCCTCCCACCCCACAGTGTTTTTACATGGGTGCTGGGAATCCATGTGCTTGTGTAACAAGCACTTTAAGTGGTGCTATCTCCCTAGCACAGACCCTTTTATTTTTAGTCTCTTAAACGATCACTTTATAGTTCTAGTTAAGTAAACAACAATTTGTTTTAAGTTATTATGGTATATTTAACACAATGTTTACCTGTAAATAAAAATATACCTGAGGACTAAATATATGGTATGTTCAAGCTTTATCTACTGTCATGCAAAAGTTAAAATTAAAACCCACTACCCTGACTTCAAGACTGGTAAAACTGATTTCTGGGTGACTAACAACAAAACGAAAACCCTATTACTCCACATTAAAAAAACGTCAGTTAAAAAGAGATTCTTGCCATCCAAGATCAGTCAAGACCCAGGGGATGACAACCCTGATAAGTCAACTGTCCTCTTGATCAGAGAGGGTGTGGAGACCCCAGAAGTTGGCCCCTAACCAGTGCACATCCTTCATATGGCAGCCATTAGATCCCAGGGCCTCACTCAGCAGCCAGTCTAACCAAAACGGCAAGCTCCAGGTTCAATGAGAGACTGTCTCAAAAACTAAGGTGGTGAATGATAGAGGAAGACACTGATGCCAACCTCTGGCTCTACACTCAGACGCACAGGCAAGCACACCCTCCCCATCACATGCACACATACCCATTACCCCCGCCTACCACCACCATGGGAATGACTCACAAGTTGAACTTTTGCAAGTTAATCATATGCTTTGAAATCATTTAGAACTATGTATTCAGTCTTGTTTTCCTGTTGTGAACTCAACTTGTTTAAATGTAACTAGCCTTTAAGAGAAACAATGTAATCAATCTTATTATGCTTTGGACTCTTGATGTAATTAACCCTTACAAGCTAAGATGAACACTAGCTCTAATCTTCAACTATGTTCCCTATTTCTTCCTTCTGACCTTTCTACACACCAGACTCAGAGCAATATATATGTGTATGTTATGGTAATTAGATCGAAAAGCAGAAATAACATGTCATTCACAATAAATGTTGGAAGCAACACATGGGCATAATTGTTTGTGGTTTTGTGTGCTGTTCTGGGTCAGCAGGGCCAGAAAAATAACTTCTTCCCTTATAAACTCTTGTTAAAGATTCTTTTTAAAAATTTTTATTGATTATTTTCATTTTTTGTGTATGAGTGTATTGGTTGCATGTATGTGAGTGCACACATGTGTGCAATATCTGTGGAGGTCAGAAGAGGGCATTGGATCCCCTGAACTGAAGTTATGGATGGTTGTTAGCCACCAAGTAGGTACTGGGAGCCAAACCCTGGTCCTCTGAAAGAGCAGCCAGTGTTCTTAACTGCTGAGCCATCTTTTCATCCCCCTAGCTAAAGATTCTTTATGACAAAGTTTCTACTCCTTTCCCATACTATGATTGATATGCTTAATAAACATGGAGGATCTTTGTTCTAGAGAAGAGTTCTGAGAGACATCAGAAGGAACAGTTCTGGGAACAGATTGGGCTCATTCTTGGTTAAGCTACTTCAGGAGTCAGACTTTTCTAATGTGGCACCACTTCACCTCCATGCCAGACAAAAACTGTCATTAGGACAGTCCAAGGGAAGCCACATGGTCACAGCTTGATTGTCCCAACAGATAACATAGCTACCAGGATAAAAGAATAAAGACGCCAAGGGGGCTCTTCACACAGCACACAGTGACCCAAGGAGCCCCAAGGGACCTTAACAGACCTTAACAGTAAAACAAAAGAGGGGGTAGGCATTACACACATATGTGTGACAATATCAAGGAGACCCATTATTTTGTATGACAACTTAAAAAATAAGTTACATGGTGAACTCAAGGCCAGTGAAACCTTGTCTCAAAAAATACCAAGGATGAGGGTAGGTGTGGTGGTGCACACCTTTAATTCCAGCACAGAGGCAGAGGCAGGCAGATCTCCATGAAATTGAGGCCAGCCTCGTCCACACAGTGAGTTCCAGGCCAGCTAGAGCTACAGGGAAACTCTGTCTCAAAACAAAACAAGAAATACCAAAAGTGCAAAGTATAGCTCAGAGGTACATTGCCTGCCCATTGTGCACAAGGCTGTGGGTTCACGCCACAGGACTGCAAACATTTGTTATATTATTCATAAAATGATAGTTTTTAAAAATTGAGTTAATAAAATGTATTCTTAAATTTATAGAAAGAATTTTCCTTTTTGTTTTTTGAGATGGTGTTGAGGTAAGTCTAGCACAGGCTGTCTTCTGATATGCTTGTAGCTGAGGACAACCTTGAATTTCCCATCCTCCTGCCTCCACCTCCTAAGTGTTGGGCTATAGGTGTGTGCCACCACACTGAGTCAAAACAAGTTTTTAAACTTAAAATTTCCAGTGAGAGGCTCTGTCTCAAAAAGTAAAGTGGAAGGCTGGGTGTGATGGTACACACCTTTAGTCCTAGCACTTGGGAGTCAGAAGCAGATGTATCTCTGTGAGATGTATCTCTGTGAGACTGAGGCCAGCCTGGTTTTCATAGCAAGTTCTAAGCCAGCTGGGGCTACAGGGAGACCCTGTCCCAAAACACAAAAGCCCCCAAACAAACAAAGGTAGAGGGAAATTAAGGAAGACACCTTTAGTCTCCACGTACATATGCACACATGTACACAAATTCCTCTTATAAAGTTATAAAGAGTTAAACTTTACACACAGGGGAGAGAGAGAGAGAGAGAGAGAGAGAGAGAGAGAGAGGAGAGAGAGAGAGAGAAATTATTTTCTCCCTACATGCTGTGAAACACACCCAACGAGAAGGTATAATCAAAGAAAGGAGCTGCTGGTATGATCCAGCTAGGCTGGACCAAGAAAGGAGCTCAAAGGACTTTGCCAGATACTGGAGGATGGACTCAGGAAAAGACTCCAGTGGACACAGTGTGCAGAGAGAAAAGCTGGAAGATCCCAGCAGTCTCCAGCCACACCTGTAGTCTTAACCTGCAGGCACGAACATTTCAGATTCCCAGTGCCGCCGGCTCCTGCAGAAATA